CTCGATGGAGATTACTACCTCGCCACCGTCCTCTGTGCTGCCTTGACCAAGCTTGTGATGCGTCACGCCCAGCTTTCTTCAGACCAGCCACGTACGAATGCGCTCAAGGCAGAGGCTATGCTCATCATGGTTTCGATCATCCGTGTTGGCCAATCCCAATTCGTCAAGGCACCAATAGATGAGGACTCGGTGGACAGAATCATGTCGTGTGTGCGGACGCTTGCGGAGTTCTTCGACAAGAAACTCGAGACTGTGTTCTTAGACGATACTCGCAAGGCGTTCCGCGCTATGGTTCACGTCGAAGAGAACAAGCGAGCTGCCAAGGCTGCCGTTGAGAAGGCAAAGACTGCCATCCAGGTTGACGATGTGGTCCAATTCCGCCAGCTCTCAAAGAAGAACGCCGGTGACGGTGCTGATGGCGCTGAACTCGATCTGGAGAAGGCCACTGGTGGCGACTCTGTCTCGGAAGATCTTAGCTCCAAGCTCAGCCGCGTTGTCCAACTCACAGGTTTCTCGGACCCTGTTTACGCCGAGGCTTATGTCAAAGTACACCAGTTTGACATTGTCCTGGACGTCCTTCTTGTCAATCAGACGACGGAGACTCTACAGAACCTGTCTGTAGAGTTTGCCACTCTGGGTGACCTTAAGGTCGTCGAGCGGCCAACAACCCAGAATCTGGGTCCGCATGACTTCCACAACGTCCAGTGCACCATCAAGGTGTCCTCGACGGACACTGGCGTCATCTTTGGCAACGTTGTGTACGATGGCGCACACAGCACGGACACCAATGTCGTCATTCTCAACGACCTCCACGTCGACATTATGGACTACATCCAGCCCGCGACCTGCACCGAGACTCAGTTCCGCACCATGTGGACTGAATTTGAGTGGGAGAACAAGGTCAACATCAACAGCAAGGCCAAGTCTCTGCGCGAGTTCCTCGAACAACTGATGGCCTGCACAAATATGAACTGCCTGACACCCGAGGCCAGCATGAAGGGTGACTGTCAATTCTTGAGCGCCAACCTCTACGCCAAGAGCGTGTTTGGTAAGTTCCAGTCTTGCAATTCTCATGCAATAAGGAATTGCACTAACCCACTTTGCAGGCGAGGACGCGTTAGCCAATCTGAGCATCGAAATGGAAGGAGAGGAGGGACCCATTACAGGATTTGTCAGGATAAGAAGCAGGTCACAAGGCCTTGCTTTGAGCCTTGGGTCTCTAAAGGGTCTGAACAAGATCGGCACGGCAGCAGCCTAAGCCGGCACTACCCGAGCAATCACGATTTATGGCATTTCCCTAGCAATAGACCTTCACCTGTGGGCTGTGAGTGAGAAAGAAAATTCTACAGATACACGGAGCGCAGTCTTGATCTATATCTGGGACAGGGAGGGAAAAGTCTCAAATAATACCTGCGTACCAGGGAGGTCACTTGCCAATCTGATAGAAATGAGTGTCAAGCTGAAAATTGCAAAAGTTGTTCTGCTAGCCGAAGCCTGTGGTCCAATAAATTCGATGGAAAAGTCAAGACACGACGACACTCATAACAGAGGATCCGACAGGAGACCATGGTCGAATCCGGTGTCCCCACTGTGTGGTGACACGGTTGATTTCGTGTCGCTAACTCCAAAGAACGCGCTTGCACCATTCACGACACTCTCCACCACCACCGCCGTCAAATTGAGGATTTTCAATGATCAGCGCAGGAAGAAGTCATGCATGGACCGTCCAAGTGATCATGCTTCCAAGCGAGCGCTCCGCGCCTGCGAGGTGAGTCTTGTCCATCAACTGAACACAGCTCACGATTGAACAAGACCCTGACCTATCTGTCTGCCACACTTCGTTACAGAACTGCCGTGAGCGCAAAGTCAAGTGCAATAGCAATCCGTCTTCTTGCCAGCAATGTGCTCATCTGAACCTCCGCTGTGTATACAAGACCAGCAGCACGTCCACGCGGAGCCGCGCTAATGCCGGCTCGCGAGGTTCGGTTATCTCTCGTCTCAAGGGCAATGGAAGCCACTCGGTCCAGCAGCTGTTACCTCTAAGAGAGACTACAGCCTCGGCCACAGTTCCTGTGAGTCCTTTGCTTGGAGGCCCTTCTTCCCACGTGCCCCTCGAATCCGAGTTCGAGCAGGCCTTCTTCCGGTCCCTCGTCCAGCCGTATGACGACTACATCTACTGCGTCAGCCCCATTATCACAGCCGCCGAAATAAGTGCGTCCATTACGACAATGCATGACGACACGGTAGACTTCCAACTCGTGCACGCATTTGGGGCAGTCACTTTGAACCTCACGCAGCCCAACTGGAGAGCGGATTCGCTCGAGGCAACGAAAGTGAAAAGGCTGATGGACATTGCCATCTCGGCGAGAAGCCAGCTCTCCACATCTTTCCTCAGCGGCTACGGTGGCTCCGGCCTGCGGACCATGCTAGACGAGCGTTTCATCATGGCCGGCATATTCCTCGAAATTTGCCTGATGGGCTTCCGGAGGCACGACGAGGCGTTTCTCATGCTACGCGAGGCAATCAGCCTCATCCAGCTTCTGCAAGTGCGCAAGGCCCGTAGTAGTCACCAGCTTGATGGCTCGGAGAGGACTCGGCAAAGGGCGGTAGAGGCCAAGCAAGAGCGTCTCTACTGGGAGGCATTCATCCATGAACGCTTCCTTGCCATCGTCGAGTATTACCCGGTTATGCTTGAGCCACTAGAAGACTCGATCGCGGTTGAGGACGAGACGCTCCCCGTGCAGGTCCGCGAGGGGTTCCAGAGTCTGATTCAGATGTTCTGCGTTATTGACCACGAGTTTGTGAGCCACTGGCGGAGAGGCGCGTCAGCCACGGTGACGAAGGAGTGGATTGAGGCTAAGAAGCGAGAGCTCGACAACTTGGATTTTATGCTGCAGCCTCAGTCCGTCAGTAGCAGCGTTCCCATGTGGCATAGCCTCCAAGCGAGGGCGAGTGAATCTCCAGCCTCCTCTCAGCACATGGCCACGGAGAACTGGACCTCACTCAACACGCTGCAGCAGGCAGACCTCGTCATTACCCGTCAGTGGATGCTCACGCTGCTTTGGCAGTTAGCTTTGTCTCACTGCGTGCTTCCATCGTCTTCGCCACGGTCGTTAGGCAACGACGAGGGGCGCAACTGGAACGCGGCGACACGAGACCACGGGAATCACGGGAATCACGTTAGCACCACCGACACAACAAGCCCTAGCAACGACCACGAACGTCGGCTCTCTGACCCTGCCGCCTCTGTGCCGCTATCGCTATCCTTTCCAGTTCGCCTGTCACAGCAGCTGCGCGCCGTCATCACCCAGCTTGGGCGGAAGTATATTGAGCGCCACGGCTCGGGCATTATCCAGAAGCTCTTTGAGATCACGGCCACCTTTGCCGATGTCATCGTGCACGTGCCCGTATCATCGCCTTCTTCTTCTTCTTCTTCTTCACCCACGGCGGTGGCGGAGGTGGAGGAGGAGCGGGCACAGCGGCTCAGAGACTTCGAGTTCCTACTCAACTTCCTACGCGAGTTCGCCGGGTTGGACGAGATCCAGGCCAGGATCCTGTCGGAGAAAGCGGAGCTGGTCCGCGGCGTCGAGCACGCGAATTCTACCGAGGCGCTATGCTACACGCGAACAGAGGAAGGGAAGTAGTGAGCACGGCAGACCCTCATTTCGGGACTTTGTAGCGGGAGATAAGACGGACCAGCTCAGCAGACTGGGAGTTGCCGTCCTTACCGCGCGTAGATCTGCCTAGTTCCGTTTGACTAGCAAATTCTTGAGCCAAATCCTCTTATCAAAACAGTTGTATAGCAGAGCGTTTCGAGTACACGAGCGTAAAGACCGCCACAAGACCTAGCTGACCCCTGACGGCGAGACCAAGCCTCTCTCGGCTCCGGAGCTCGCGACACAAGCCAGTTCGGCAATCGCCATGTCTCGTTCGACTCCCAGATTAACGTTTAAATACCCATGCCTTCCCCTCTCCCCCCACGAGACCTAGACTGAGCTGGCTAAACGCCCGCACCTATATGCGAATTGCCGTACAGATTGACATTTAGGGCGCGGGGGCGAGGAAGGAGGGACGGCTATCTCCGCTTGCTTGTGTGTTTTCCAAGAAACACAAGGCTTGCAAATGCGTGGGTGGGTGACGTCCCAGTCTACTGGGAACGTGCGGATGGGGGCAAAGTGACCTGTCATTGAGTATTAATCAAAACACCTGGCAGATCCCTATAGCTGCTAGTCGCATGTATATTAGGTGTGTCCTTCACCAAACTCGAGCATGGGGGTTCTGATGTAGGGTCCTTTTCTATGTGCCGTGAGCACAACGAAGTTTGAAATAATGTCAACAAGTGTTGGTCGTCACTCTTTCGTGTTTAGGTCCAGCGATCATGGGAAATTTAATGTCCTCGTATTGACTACATTATCATTATAGTTGACGAGGCCCCATAGTTGTTTAACTGAAACGCTTATGGCCAAGTGAGAATTGCACTGGATCATTTCGATATTGTCCCCTGGTACACTTGCTCATACTCTGTCGATTGCATTCTCAGGACAACTGGACATTATGCTAGTCAGATCTATGGACTGACTGACATTCATGGTGTTGTTCAATTGGCACCAGAAAGCATAGGGACTAGTAGTAGATACGCAAGGGTCTAGATGTTTCAATGAAACCCGAATGGGTCAGGAAGAGACCACACCATCCAGTCAGGACTAGAAATTTGACACGGATGTGAGGCTAGTCAGGGGCTTCCAACATGCTGTGAAAATAGAAAATACTTCAGACCGGTAAAGCCCAACAGAAGTCAAACAAATTGAAACGATAGGCTGGGTATTAGCTCGCTCAAAATATAAGCACTTAACATAGTAGTATAGTTATATTATATCCTATTGCGAACGCTCTTTCTATGCTATCTTTAATAATAGACGTTGAGAAAAAAACAAAATCCAAAAAGCAACACTCTCCAAGCGACGGGAGTTTGAACGCAAGCAAAAATGTAGAGACTACATGGGTCTGGCCGGGAATTGAACCCGGGACCTCTCGCAAACTAGACTTTAGGGTGTACCCTAAGCGAGAATCATACCGCTAGACCACCAGACCGACAATTGCTTCATCAGAAGATGCTGATTGGCTGTTTGATAAAAATGACAATCTTTATACAGCAATATAATCACATGATGAACTATGCCACAGAAATGCCAGTTTCACCGTGTCGTGGCTTGATCCAAGACGGATAACTAGAGGAGATTCCTTTGCCAGGCAGGGCCTGCGACATTCACGGGATGAGAGTTGACGGACTCATGTAACAACGAGGTAATGTTTGCGAGCGATGCGGTTGAATTGAACAGATCTTTTGCATCTCTCCTGACTCTGTTGCCCGCCTTCATTTAATCTCCTGCTCCCTGTCCCTGCCGACACGAGCTGCAAGATACCCGAGGATACTCTTGGCCCTGCAAGTCTTGGCGGCCTTTGTCAAGGTGAGCGAGGAGTGGGGAGAAGGATCTCAGCGGGACATGGTAGGTACAGTACAGCACAGCATTGGCATGCAATGCAGACGCACAAGCGGGCGGCGAATTCCTCCTCTCAGCAAGGGTCTCGTCGTGCGCTTGCGCTGGTTACGTCGTCTGCGTCCTCCCGTCTAAACAGGCGCGCAATAAATTCTTGCCGTTCCTAGGTAGTCATGGCAAGTTCGTGCCCTTGAAATTTGGAGGCTCGCCAGGCATGTGACATTACCACTTTCTTTTTTCGCTTGCCGAGACGACGGGTTGACCTAAGCGACCTTGTTCGACGCCTGGCATGCCTTCCCTTGCTTCCTAAACTTGATCAATGTATTAGAGTTCACGGCAGCCAGACGCACCGTCCGCGGCGCAGAGCCGGAACAGGGTGGGTGGTATATGCGCAGCATTGTGCATGGGATGAAAATAGACTCGCCCTCGCGGGCCTCGCCAGTACGCTGGTTTCATTAAGGGGGTGGAGCGCGTGTTCGTGCTGGCCGATCACGTTTGATGTCCCGATGAATGTTTGAAAACGGCACAGCGGAAGTACTAGACCCGACTCGGTTATATGTGACCGCAAACCTAAATCATCTTCCAATCGGAAGGTGCCGAGGACCGTTGCGCCCATTCTGGCGTTGATGGTGTCGCCTCCGTGGAGTGCTCGTTGCTGCACGCCCGCCCGCCTGGCCTTGGTCTGTGGAAGTGTCATGGTCGGGATCTGTGGGTGGAAATGTACGAGCCCGTCCGTGGTTACTCGTCATGCAAGATCTCATTGCTCCGCAGTCGATGCGCTCCGGGCTGTGGCCTGCCGCCCATGCTGTCGTCATTGGTCACCATGCTGGCCATCACAAGTGTTGACGGTGGATATCCGGCCCGAATTGCCGCGGTGCCGCGAAGATATGCTCATGGGGACCTGGTCCGTGTTTGGACATGGCAGGCCAGGCAGGCTGGGGCCGAGCAGAAAGCCGTCGTCGTTGTGGCAGGCTTCCGCATGCCTCGAAGCCCGCGACAGTGCTCAAGCTAAGGACCTACACCGAGATCTTGCTTGCCAATTGACAGGTTGATCCGCGATGGTAACTAATTGAAACAGAGCTCGGCCAGGGTCCTATATGGCGGATCGACTAAGAGGTGGAGTTGACGAACCGAACAGCTACAACATGGGGTACCTCAGGTACTGCAGCTTGTGGATCTGCCAGCGGAGTCCGCTCCGTGGTCCTCCAGCCGCCACGTCGCGTGAACTGAACGAGGTGTAACTTGCGGACACATCAGAGACCTCTCGGCCGTGGGCCGGCCTGTTGCTCCTGATTAGGTCATCGAGGCATTCAGGCCGTTCGGCTCGCGGCACGGTCAAGGATGAGGCATTCGACTTCCTGTTGTGGTGCTGCGGTGACGCCTGTATGGGTGGGTGCCATTCGGGAGTTTAGGCAGATCCGGGCAGGTCCTTGTTGACACGAAACGCATGCGGCAGCCGAGCCCTAGTTTCCACCTGTCAGGATGGGGAAGTCTTTGCGTTGGGACTTATGCAGGGGGCCCATGCACCAACCCTTCAATATCTGCTCTCAATGTCTTATGCCGGCATCTCTTCTGATATCGGCTGCCAATGGCTATCCAGCCCGGTCCCGTAACGTCAGCATAATACCATGTCGGAACAATACATGGATGATGGCTTGAGACGTAGCTTGGCCACCTCGCCAACAAGCCATTACCTGGGAGGTGTCATGTTCCGGCCATTAATTTTACTTGAAGCATACGAAGAGAATGACTGTGATTCGGCAACGGTGACAGCATACGGCATAATGACGATGGACGCTTGTACTGTCACGTGCCCTGGGTGCTGTTGTGCTCTATCCTAGAGAGTTCGAGATTGCAAGCGGACTTGGACAACGCGTACCGACGTTGCACTGTTGCATGGCACAAGATCGCCAATGCGATGCAACCCTCTGTGTGGCTGCTTCTCCGTCCCTTCGGTTCACCTGGGAAGGCGTGCCGGCTAAAGAGGAACGGCACAAAAAGTCGACTGGCGACTTTGTGGCGTCGGGGATAATTCCACCACTGATGACTTGGGTTTTGACCGTACAGGATGGTTGAACCCGTAAGTATTCTTGCCCGGTCGGCCCCGAGAGAGAGCATCAGCTGTCTGTCAAGACGGATACTCTGAGAGAGCTGGGAGCTGGCACGCAGTCGATCGCAGCTTGACCTGAAACATTTGCCCAGACAGTTGAGGATTCTTGCTCATTTCGGTCTGCACCACGATTGGACGAGTTCCCCGTCGAAGCCCAGGTTTGTGCATGTGAAGATCATTGTTTGCGCAGGCCTTTTAGTAGTTGAAGTCTTTTGAAGCAAAGGATGGCCACGGAGACAGGCTTTCGACATCCTCGCCTCGACTCATCATCAGCAAATGTGCTGTACTTGGTCCCATGTCGGACCTAGCTGGTGGAGCTGCATTGTGGCGCATTCTTCGGACCGTCAATGACCATTGCATGTCTGTAGCTGACACGTGGGCAATGCTGGTCGCTCAGCCAGCAAGGGAGGGGCTGCTTTGTCCGCAGGCGGGATAATTGTTCTGTTGGCCGGACGTTGTTCGGCACAGATGCTGACTTTGCGTTTGCTTGTGTGAAGTGCCTCTCAAGCAACACTACTTCCAGACGCCATGAGTCGTGGCTGCAGCTTGGCCACGGCTGACGGCCCTGTTCCCGCGTGTGCTGATGGGTGCTGGGTGTTTTGTGGTGTTCGTGATCCGAACGAGAACACTCCGCAGTGCCGGCAGCATCATGGGTTGCCCTGCAGCAGCCCTGGCTCTGATCAGAGAATCCTTGCGGCGTACGCAGTGCAACCACCGGGCTACTGGGAAGGTCGTTCGGCGCTGAATGACGATGACGATCTGATCAGCCTAGGACGTTGGCTCCGGAAATGGGACCGCAGTCCGGGTGGAGACGCCCGCCGCTTGATGCGGCTCGAGGCTCAGGAGCCTTTGGCCTAGTGAATGTGAGCTTGTCGGCGTGCAAGTTGCTGGTGGAGGCATGAATGGCGTGAGATGAGCTGCCTAATGTCGACCATGGCTGCCGGCACAACCGGGTTGAGGCCTGAGCAATGATCGATCTGACTGATGCGAGCCGGGGGGTCGGGCAACTAAGGTTTGAAGGCTGCCAGGAACACGCCGACACAAGCTGGGAGAGCGGCCTGGCTGCAGCACCATGCATCTGTGAGAGACATCCAGCGCAGAAATGCATCCATGGAACCACCCGCGGACAGACCAGCGTGCAATTTTGGACAGTGACAGTACTCCGTACTAGGACAGAGCACGGTACGGAGTCGCGACATGGTTCCAGGGAGCTTGGTGCGTGGAGACAACCTTGGAAGACGTCGACGCCTCTGCAACAGTCCGCTGTTGATGCTGCCCTGGAAGGCCCTGGAAGGCACAACGATGAGTAAACGATGCTTGACTGTGACCTCTACGCTCTTCCGATCGTACGATAGGTACGCTGTATTTGACGTCGGAAGAAGCCTCCAGCCCTGCCGTCTCTGCTCGAAGCCAAACGGTGCCGAACGTGGAGAGGCAGGCGCGCTAGTGCAGATGGAGCAGTAGAGTTGCCGCCATGGGTCGCACTTGGCGTGGAGCACGTCGAGTTTGCTCTTTTTTTTATTGTCTTTTTTATTTTTTATGCTGGCAGTACGTCGCCAGGCACGACCCCGTCCACCACCACCACCACCACCACAACGCGCCGGCCCCGACCCCGACCATTCCACCACCGCGGCCTGCCATACTCCCTCGCCGGCTACACGCCCGCACCAGATAGGCATCTCGGCCCAGCTCCTGCTCGCATGCAGTTCCTGTCATCTCGAAGTGATCCTCCCCCGGCCGCCTGTCCATCCTCGTCCCAGCTACACCCAGGCCCGCCTGCTGCCCGCCAGTCCGGCTGCAGCTCCGGTCCGCTCCCACCCTCGTCCCCTCGCTCCAATACGTAACTAGCTGCCGCTCGGCAACACACTGCGCGCTGGCTGGCTGGCTGGCCCGCCGCTCGCCTGCCTCCGGCCCTCGATGCTCATACGTATGGACCCCCAGAGACTCTCGCATGTATCGCCCACCCCAAGCGGCACGCCTAGCTAGGGCGAGCAACAGCCACCAGCCACACACCCGAGCGCGAGGCTTCGACCGGCCGACCACGCTTGTTGGCTTGCAGGCATACTTCGTCCTGCACTACGACGGTGCGCATCTGACGAGGTAGCACTCCAGGAGCTGCGGTGCTGCCTGCCGCCCTGCGCGCGCCTGGCGGCTATCCCATCCAAGCTGCGCGGGCACCCCCTAGCCTCACCCACGACCGCAGACACCACGCTCTTGCCAGCATTGCGGCTCAGGCGATCCCTAGGTAGGCATACGGCGTAGGCAGCTCGTATCCCTGCCTGGACTTGCGCGAACCCTGGTTCTGTAGGACAACGTTGTCGTCCGAGTCGGCCTGCGGTCACGGCCGTCCGGGCAACAAGGCCCCCTTGCTAGAGATCTCTGGGCTCCATAAATCTCACAAGACGCAGCTATTCTCGATGGCGGACGCCCAGGGACAGGAACAGCCACCGGCTACCTCTGAAGTGCATCTTGACCACCCTCCT